GGAGTCACTGACAAGATTGGCTACATCTTGAAGCGCGCTTCCATCAAAACATACTTCAAGCCGCTGAAGAAGATTGGTCAGTTTTTACCATCGGTCAAGTGTAATGTCCCTCTGCAAGATGCAGGAGTGTACAAGCTTGATTGTGAATGTGGTCTCTCCTACATAGGACAAACTAAAAGATCAATAAAAACCCGCGTTAAAGAACATATAGCTGATGTGAAGAATCGACGCTCCGGGAAGTCTGCAGTCTGTGAACACGTACAGGATCGCCCCCGTCACTACATCAGATTTGATAGACCGCAGATCCTCGCTAAAGAACACCGATTCCTTCCAAGGATGATTCGCGAGGCTATTGAAATCAAAAAACATCCTAATTTCAATAGAGAAGATGGCTGGGTGCTACCATCTGCTTGGGATCCTATAATAAATAAAATTAAATCCCAACCCAAGCATACAACTTCAAGATACCATAAGTTCATACGGAATAGATCGGAACAAAAGTTAAATTTTAATCTATGGTAACCGCGGTTAACTATGACATATGGACGTTGAACATCTCAGTCCTGCCCGTGACCATGAGTGCTGTAAAGCGTTCGAAACGTCGGGTATTTAAAAAGTTAAAATATACGCGATAAATTCCGTAAAAACTAGTATTATTTCAATGTGTAGTGTTCGCATAAATATAAGAAATCACTTGATATATAATTAATTGCCATATAGTGGCGGTGTAAGAATATCCACTACCCCACATCATCCCGTGGGTTTCATAAGAGGTGACAGAAGGAAACAAATCAGGAGATGGCCAGCAGTGTCTTCCTATTAACTACCAGAAATAAAAACCTGCGGTTGCCAACCCGCTTGCCAAGCGTAGCAACTATAGCAAGTATCTCCCCAATGAGGCAATCTATGGAGGAGTTCTATGGTAAGCAGTAAACTTTAATAGGCTGTAACGGTAACTAATTGTCGATGTGACGGACACGTTGACGTCTAAATTTACTTAATGTCAGGAAAACAACAAGCGATAAAAGAAGAAACCTTAAATGATAAAAAGAACTTGTACAGAATAATCGGCAATAATAATCGAAAAATTTGAAACTACATAAAGGGGATGCCCATTTTCGGCCATGGAACGCCCAACAATACGCATTTGTTAAAAAAAATATATCTTTATTTATGGTTATTAATTGCGGCATTCATTTATCCTTAAAAAGATGGGAATATTTTTGCACAAAAAAGGTACTGAAATGATAAAAATAAAATTAGGTAAATGCGTAATTCATTAGTTTGTGGATAAAATAAAAAATGTTGCCAGTCACAAATCTCATTAAAATCGATTCCCTTTTTTAATCGATTATTTACGGTGTCATTATTACAATGCTAATATAACTTTTCGATAATTATTATGATGTTATGATATAGGTATGAAGCAACCGTTGACAACGGATATTTATCCAAAGCAGCCGATACGCAACCGTAGTCAACCAGTACCTACCTACCTTTACCTTACCGTTACCTTTCGATGTACGCGAAAAAGTATCACAACAAAACATTAAAACTAAACTGAAAAGCTTTTTCCTATCTAAATTATAAATACATACTATATCTACTTAATAATAATAATATACTACCTGCCTAGCTCTTACTTTTACTTTTACCTTGCTACTTCTGACTTTAACTAAGTTGTTAACTTACCTTTTTAGTCTTTATATTCTTGTTACACCTTCTACCTACTCATATACCTAACTATTGAATTAGACTGTGTTTTGTACATAATTCGCTTACTTGAATTTAATTATTTAGCATCAAGGTAAACCTCTGTGGTTTTTAGATGTTAATTAAGCCTATATTGGAATGTAATTTTTGTTTGATCTGATAAATAAATAAATAAAAAAAAAAGTTGTTTATGCGACTACAAACGAAAAAGGTTGGTTATGTTTTTACTGTGTGTGCGGGTGGCTAAGCTGAATCGCTTTTTGCAATGCTGCTTAAAAACTACTTGACCGATTTAAAAAATTCTTTCATCATTACAATTCTATTATGACTGTGAAACATACGATGCAATTTATGATAGAGGACGCTACTTTCAACAAATATATTTATTTAGCTAAACTCGTAAAATCCTTTCACCGCTATAATGTTATGTATATTTATAGATATCTAATGTAGGATGCATTTTTATTATAGAGGGCGCTACTTTCTGTGAATATGTTTTTATTAGCTAATCTCGTAATACTTGACCGATTTTGAAAATTCTTTTATTCAATTAAATGTAATGGCATTGCTAATGATAGTATATAGTTCGTTGTGTGATAAAATTATATTATTAAAATAAATATTTGTGATATTAATACTTTCTAAATAAATAAAAGTAAATACCTACCTAAGATGATCAAATCCTATTATTATTTTTAAAATTTAACAACCGTATTTACACACTTTACCTAAATAGGTTGATTGTTTTAGATATAAGTAATAAATCTAAAATAAGAGAGCTCCACTTAAACGAAAAAATAATTAATAAAATATATCGATGATAAAATATGCAAGCCAATGAAGAGTTCCGTAGTAACAAGCAAAGATCCTACATCGAGTTAAATTACCACTATCATTATCGCCAGCAAAAAGTTACTTTTTTTCCTAGATTTTGTATAAAGGACAAAATTGTAATTGCGGTTCTTGAAAATAAGCTACTTGTAGCTCAAAAAAAGTCATTACGAAAAAGAAAAACTTATTGCACAAAAAATATTTTTATCAATTTCAAGCCAAAAACAACCGTTGTTATCGGCTTGGTTGAAAACGTTAACAACCGTCTCCACATCTGTAGTTATGATAATTAAATAAGCGATTTACTAGCTGATTTACAATGAATTCTATGCAGTATAACAAAACGCTACTGCACAATATAACTGTTATTCTTATCTGTTCTTTACAATACATTTAAAATGGAATCATGTTATGATAATTAAACAAGTAAATTTTCAGCTGATTTACCATGAACTGTTTAGAGCATAACAATACGCTACTCCACATTTTAACTATTCTTAAAAATACATTTAAAAAGGAATTTAAATAAATAAAAGAAAATATATTTTTAAAACATGTAAAACTTAAAGCCTCAATTTTTTTTATTAAATTACTAATCGAATAAAAATCGATATCGTTTCATTGTATTTATGTTAGTTATGTGGCAATATCAAATCTGACATGCGAATTGCAAATGAAAATGAAATCACAATTCAACAAGTAAAAAGGTACTAGAGAATTCACAACTAAATAGTCGCAATTGTGGTATTTTGTTTGTTATTTTTCAAATAAATTCTCAAGAACTCATATGGAGTGATATTGCCGATCACATTATAGTGTGACAACAGTTAAAAGTAAGTGTTCAACCGTTTTTAATTTATTAATTCTAGTGCTGATATTTGATAGTGATGAATGAATGAAATGATGAGTTGTTTTATTTTTTAACATATGCACAAGCTATATCTGACAAACATAATAGCTTATTTATAACATGGCGATAAGATTAGCTAGCTAACACCAGATAGTTACGAAATTGACAATTATTATCAAATATCAAGAAATGAGACAGTCGATTTTTAATTATTTTTGGACTACTGGTAGTCAGTCAGTCCTTAATTATTTAATAATGTAGGTCATTAAGTTTCAAGTAACATTTACCTATATTTGAGTTTAAAGTAAACAAATCTATTTTATTTTGTTCACTTTGTCTTATTTTTTATTTAATATTATTTCAGTTGCCATCGTCATCGCGTGAGTGTCATGATTGCTGGCGAAGGACTGATAAAGCAGCATCACGTTAAACTTTAGAACGGAAACCATCTGAATCATCTAGTCCGTCCTCGTTGCAATCTAAAGTGAGTAATGTATTGAACCTAGAACAACAAAGCTTAGATCATACATCGTACAATATACTGCTGCCTAATTTTGTAAGAGCACCACTCACACAAAATCAATGTTTTTTCCTAGTTGTAACAATTCCAATCAACTCACTGTTCCATCAGCATTGCGGGTATCTCTTTTTTCGAATACAATTACTATGTACCTCCAAAATGTAGAATCAGTAACTACCATTTAAATAGTAACTCTTGGTATTTACTTTTAGAATCAATATATAACCATATTAAAACATTTAGTGTAGCACAAATTATAGATTTTTCTACATTATTGTAAGATAATATATACCATCATATAGACTTCGAAAATATTCACAGTATGCCTGAACATACTGTACTTTATTATCTAGGCTTATCAAAGGCACAATACCAAAAAATTCTGTTTGTAGTTCCCAAAATGTTAAGTAAACATAGTGGATGTTTTGCACTTGCTGTGTATTTGATGAAAGTAAGAACAGGAGATAGTGATAAATGCATATAGGCATTATTGCAAGTGCCAAGAAACAGATTAAAGCGGCTCATGAATATGTTCCGTCAAATATTAAATCAGGATGTTGTTCCTATGAATTTTATCCATCGTTGCCACTCTCTGTGCCAAATTCCATTCAGTAATTATGATATTATTTTTTTTGTTTTTTTGTTTGTTTGTTTATTATTATGTTTTTGTTATCCAAAATCCTAACAACATCATAGGTCACACTGTGTATGGAAAAAAGACCCATACAAACTGTTACGAGCTTGAGGTTCGTGACAATAAAAATTGCCGATAGAATTACCTAAATTAACACTTTAATTTTCTTTACACAAATTAAAACTTAAAATACTAATTATTCACACTGATTCACTTTATCCGATCGCACCTTGCAGCGCCTATAAATACACCTAAGCATCGAAAAATCCAGAACATTCAAGTAAATACGCGCGCCAATCGACTAAGTATCGAAAGTTCGAGTGTCGGTGATATGTATTGCGGGTGCGCAGCACAGCCAGTAATAAACTAGCCTCGCTACTAAACGGTTGTTTCCTTTGTTAAATACATCTCACTGGCGACGAGTTTTGTACATACCTACGCGTAAAAAAAATATGTCGTATTTAGGTAATTTGCCTGTTTTCGATCACAAAACAAGTGAATGGTCAATATTTTATGGGAAATTAACACAGTTCCTAAGGATAAATAATGTGACAAAAGAAGAAATTAAGAGTGGTATCCTGCTTACTCATCTCACCGATGAAACCTACCGCTTAGTACGTAACTTAGCGTACTCTAAAACGGTGGAATCGTTAACTTACAACGAGCTAGTTCAAATACTCAACAGCCATTTCAAACCAAAGCAGTGCTCCTTCGTAGATAAGGCCAACTTTTTTGGAGCGACTAGAAGTCCAGGAGAATCACTGGGAGACTGGGCGGCGCGATTAAGAGGACTAGCAAGCTATTGCGAATACGGCGACGCCCTGAAAACGAATCTGAGAGATCGTTTTGTCCTAGGCCTGGGCTCTGGCCCGGAACGCAACAAGCTGTTCGAGCAGAACCCGACAACACTTACGCTAACTAAGGCGATTGAAATAGGGGAACAAGCTGCTTGCGCAAGAGAAGTCAAGGTGATGCTGAATACGAGCGATTTTGGGCTCATCAAGGAAGAGCATGTGTATCGTGCAAAAATTCACCAGTTCGCTCGGGGAAGCGGAGGTGACGGCAGTGGCAACGACAGTGTCGGGGCTAGGACATTGCGACGAGAAACTGGCTCCTGTTCAGTTTGTGGTATGAAAAATCATTACAGTGATAAATGCCGGTACAGAAGCTATAAGTGTCAAAAGTGCGGTATAAAAGGGCATTTAAAGAAAGTTTGTGCTAAAAATAAAAATAACTCGTGTGCTTATCACATTCAATCAGAACAGGAATGCGGCGCTAATGAGGTCAAGGACACAGGTTGCGTAGAATGCCAGAACTTTAACTTAAGGTACGTTGATGATAAACCAATTGAAATAAATTTAATTTTGGGCAATCACAACTTAACAATGGAACTAGATTCAGGCTCGAGCAGCTGTGTAATTTCTGAAAAATTGTATGCTGAAAAGTTTTCCGATTATCATTTAAATAACAGCAATATAAAAATGTGTCTGTATAATGGGCATAAAATCTCTCCACTTGGATATTTCTGGGTTGAAGCTTGTTATAATAAAGTTAAACACAAAATAAAAATTTATGTTGTTAAAAATGGGGACCCTCCCCTGCTGGGTAGAGATTTTATGTCCGCGTTTAATTTAATTATAACAACTAAAATAATGTCTATGTGTATTGATAAGAATGTAAACAATGTATTGCAAAAGTTCCCTATGTTGTGGCAGGATGAGTTAGGTTCGTTCAATAAATTTAAAGTATGTTTACGTTTAAAGGAAAATGCAAAACCTAAGTTTTTCAAGCCACGAACCGTACCCTTTGCCCTTAGGGATAAAGTCGAAGAAGAGTTGAACCGTTTAGTAACCTTAGGTATTTTAGTTCCAATTGACCAATCAGAGTATGCCACGCCTATTGTACCTGTTTTGAAGGAAAAGAATAAAATAAAAATAGCAGGAGATTTCTCGGTCATGCTGAATAAAGATCTTTTGATTGAAAGATACCCCTTACCTCGAATCGAAGAAGTATTTGCTAAAATTGGGGGTGGCGAACGATACAGTAAAATTGATCTTAAGAATGCTTATAATCAATTTGTTTTAGATGAGCCATCCCAATTACTTACAACAATAAATACCCATAAAGTGTTATTTAAATATACAAGATTAGTGTATGGCTTATCTAATGCACCTGCAATCTTTCAAAAGGCTATGGAGACACTTCTCTCTGGCATAGATGGAGTCAGCGTATGGCTCGATGATATATGTATAACTGGCCCCAATAGTGATTCCCACATTAAAAGATTAGAAGAAGTATTAAGTCGGTTAAGTGACGCTGGGTTGCGACTACAGAGAGACAAGTGTAATTTCTTTAAGGATAGTGTAAAATATTTAGGCTATGTCATAGATAAAAACGGCTTAAAGTCTGACTCGGAAAAAGTTCACGCTATCATTAATGCGCCCGAGCCGACTAACGTAACCGAAGTTAAGAGATTTTTAGGCATGGTCAATTATTATAGGAATTTTATACCAAATGCTTCTTCACTACTCCATCCTCTTCACGAGCTATTGCGTCACGATACGCCATGGGAGTGGGGCGAGCGTCAGAGGCGTAGCATTGCGGCAGTGCGCCGCGAGCTGGCGTCCGAGCGCGTGCTAGCGCACTTCGAGCCCACAGCACAACTCGTATTGTGCGTGGACGCCGGACCCGGGGGCCTAGGCGCCGTTCTATCACAACGATCTGACGACGGTCACGAACGCCCCCTCGCATTTGCGTCTCGTTCACTCACCACCAGTGAACGTAACTACAGCCAAATTCAGAAAGAGGCAACTGCCATTATATTCGGGGTGAAAAAATTTCATCAATTTTTGTATGGTCGAAGCGATCCGTTTATTCTTAAAACCGACCATAGGCCTCTAGTTTCTATCTTCGATACTAAAACAGGCATACCGATTACAACAGCGCTGAGATTACAGCGATATGCTATAATATTATCGGCCTATAATTACACTGTCCAGTATGTGTCGAGCGATAAAAACGTAGTTGCAGATTATTTTTCTCGCTCACCCTTAACGTGTAGAAACGCATCGGAATGCCACGATAACGATTTAGACTCTTACTACGTAGTTAAGTTTATGAATGAGACGTCACCGGCGACGACAATCCGCGATATTGCACAAGTGACACAACAAGATACGGTTCTTAAAACAGTCATTAGGTACATGAATCACGGTTGGCCACGTAAAATAAGCTGTCGAACAATACTTCCTTATTTTCAATGTAAGTCCGACTTACAGTTCGAACAAGGGTGCTTATTTAGGGGACATAGAATAGTAATTCCGTCAAAGTTTAGGGAATACATGCTAAAAGAACTACACGACACACATCTAGGAATAATAAAAACAAAAAGTAACGCACGAAGTAGGATGTGGTGGCCGGGTATCGACCGCGACATTGAACGTTGGATCGGGTCCTGCAAAACATGCGTGAGCTTACGCTGCGCCCCGCCGCGCGATCCGCCGGCGCCGTGGCCCGCCGCCGCCGGCGCATGGCAGCGAGTACATATCGACTACATGACCGTGGGGCAAAGGGTACTAAACCTCGTGGTAGTTGATTCGTTTAGTAAATGGCTGGAATGTATATACATGAACAGTGGAACGTCGTCACAATCGCTTATTACAAAATTAAAAAATATTTTCTCTACCTTCGGTATACCTAATGTTTTAGTTTCTGATAACGATGTTAAAATAAACTCTAATTAATTTAAGACCTTCTGCTCTAACAATGGCATTAAGTACTTAACTTCCCCCATATATCATCCACCAAGTAATTGACAAACGGAAAATTCGGTTAGGACTTGTAAAAAGATGCTAAAATGTATTTTAAAAGATAACCTACCACAGCACCAAATTAATGAAGTATTATTGGGATATTTATTTAACTACAGGAACACGGTACACTGTACAACCGGCGAAACGCCGGCTAAATTAATGTTTGGTAGAAATCTACGATCTCGTCTCGACCTAATTATACCCATAGAAAAAAACACAATTAAATAAATGCCTTTAGTAACCAGTAGGAGAGTTTTTGAATTAGGTGATACTGTTTGGGCTCGGTGGTACAGTGCCCGGAAAGAAACTTGGGAGTTAGGTACAATTAAAGAGAAGGTCGGTAGTAAAATGTACAAAATATTTATTATAAAATATGAAGCAACATGCATTAGACATATAGATCAGCTGTTAAAATTTACAGGCAACGATAATTCATTAAAAATTAATAACACTGATAATGTTGAGAGTCGCAATTTTCAGTCGTTACCCTTGTCACCGTCTATGCCCGTTAATGCTCCTTTATCCGAACCTTCTGTAGGCAATCCTCGGTCATCGACCATAGTAGAGCAAACCGTCAATACTGACGCAATAGACCATAATAATGGGGAAGAATGGGGCGATTATTCGGCACAGGACAGCGTGGGAGACTCAACAGAGATTCCGGAAGCGTCAGATTCGCCTGAAGCTTCCGAAAACGGAGTCGAACAGCTTCAGAGCGATTCTGTCCGCCCCAATGACGTACCACCAGCGCAGGCACCGACACCCGCTCGTCAACTGCGCCCCCGGAAGAGAATATATTATAAGAAATATTTTTAAATGATTCATTGTGTTATTAAATTTAGTTGTATGTGTGTTGTGGTGTGGTGTGGTATTATTTAATTTATTAAATATTGTATATCTGTTAAGTCATAAGTATCTTAAATATTGTTTTATTTAAAACTTTATGTATTATATATTTAATAGAAATTTAAGTATTAACTGATCACTGTAAATCTAATTTGTTAACAGGTATCAAAAATTAAGTGTAGAGGAATATGTATTGCGGGTGCGCAGCACAGCCGGTAATAAACTAGCCTCGCTACTAAACGGTTGTTTCCTTTGTTAAATACATCTCAGTCGGGCTTCTAGAATCTTAGTTCTTCGTTTCGACAACAGATGGCGCTGTCGGTTAAAAAATTTGTCATGTCATTTTCTGGAAAGCTCTCTCCTCGCTCTGTTACCCGACACTAGATGGCGTTAGTGCCATGAGATGAGATGTCAACTTAGCCGCGCAACACTGCCCCCTCCTAAGACATGCTCGTCCCGAGCATTATCGGCCCCATAATAACGCGCCAGGCGATCCACATGGACGATCTTAGGAGTCCCTCTTGCGCCTTTCTGTATCCGGTAGGTTACATCGTTGATCCTGGTCACAATCCGGTACGGGCCGTCCCATTTAGCTTGAAGCTTAGGAGATTTCCTTTTGCTGCAGACTGGATTGTGCAACCACACTAGCAAACCTACGTCGAACCCTTTGTTGTTCATTTTGCGGTCATACCGGGTTTTCATCTTTTCAGACATTTGCTGGCCCGATTGTCTGACGTGCTCGTAAACGTCACTCATTTTGTTCCGCAAGTCATTTGCATGATCGGTTATACTGCGTGGGGCATCAGGTAGTATCCCGGTGATCAGGTCTGCAGGCAGCCGTAATTCTCTTCCAAAGTTTGCGAAAGCTGGTGTCACTGCTGTACTTTCGTGAACAGCGCTTCGATATGACAACAAAAACGGTTGTACTGTCCTAATCTCGTTGCCGATTGTCTACAACTTTTGCTAGGTACCTCTCCAATGTCTGATTAAATCGTTCTACCATTCCATCAGATTGCGGGTGATAAGAAGTCGTTCTTGTTTTATGAGTACCCATAACTCGGCAAGTTTCCTGGAATATTTGAGACTCAAAATTACTTCCTTGATCGCTGTGAATCTCTAAAGGTACACCAAAACGACAGAAGACTTCATGAACTAGCTTATCAGCAACTGTTGAAGCTTCTTGATTTGGAATGGCGAAGACTTCTGGCCACTTAGTAAAGTAATCCATCACAACCATGAAATACCTGTTACCGCTTTCACTCTCCGGAAACGGTCTCGCCACGTCAATGGCTATTCTCTCCCATGGTGCACCAACATTGTACAACTTCAATGCATCTCTACTACGAGTCTGAGGTCCCTTTACAGCCGCACAACTTGTACATTTGCGACACCAGTCCTCGACATCGTTTCGACAGTGGACCCAGTAAAACCATTCTCGGATCTTCAGTAGAGTTCGTTTAACTCCCAGATGGCCTCCTGAACAACTATTATGGCACAGCTGTAGAACATTCGGCACTTTAGCTTTAGGGACAACCATTTGCAAATGACAGCTGGCTCCCCGAACATTTTCCCATTTACGACACAGAACTCCATCCTGAAGCAGCAAGCTGTCCCACTGGGCCCAATAGCTTTTAGTGGTTGAACTCATCGCTGAGACGTCACTCCACTTGGGCTTGGGAGCACTGGCCTTCATCCATTCCAGAATCGGCTTGATGTCCGGATCTTCCTGCTGTGCATGTAGTAAGCTGTCCTTCCACTCGTTGCTGAGGTGGTCTGCCCTGAGCATCCTCACGGATACCACTTCCTTACTCTCTTGCCTAGTACAATGTTTGCAATCTTCAGGACAAGGTCTTCTTGACAATGCATCTGCGTTGCCATGAGATTTCCCGCTGCGATGTTCGATCTCAAAATCGTATTCCTGCAGTAGTTCAATCCACCTCGCAACTTGTCCTTCTGGGTTTTTAAACTGTAATAGCCATTTTAGTGCAGCATGGTCAGTTCGTAAGTGAAATTTTCGTCCCAGAAGATATTTGCTAAAATGTTGCAATGACTTTACCACAGCTAGCAATTCGCGTCTTGTGACACAATAGTTCCTTTCCGGTTTTGACAACGACTTGCTGAAGTACGCTATCACGACCTCTTGGTCACCATTCCGTTGAGACAACACACCGCCAAGTCCTATATCACTTGCGTCTGTGTCAACTATAAATTCTTTGCTTGCATCAGGGTATCCCAAAATAGGTGTTTTGCACAGACGGTCCTTGAGCTCCTGGAATGCGATATTGCAACTTTCATCCCAGCAGAAATGTCGCTTCTCCTCGGTTAGCTTGTGCAGAGGTTTGGTTATATCTGCAAAGTTCTTCACAAATCGCCGATAATAGGAGCACAAACCCAAAAATGCTCTAACCTGCGTCTTGTCTTTTGGAACCGGCCAATCCTTGACAGCGGCGATTTTCTCCGGATCCGTACGGATACCTTCTTCCTACACTACATACCCCAAAAAGTTGACTTGCCGTTTAAATAGTGAACATTTCTTCGGACTCAACTTGAGATTGGCACTCTGAATCTTCATGAGCATCAGCATGAGTACGCGTTCCAGATTCTGAAGGTGTTCCTCAAACGTACGGCCCACAATGGTGATGTCATCCAAGTAGACCAGACAGGCATCGCCAATTAGCCCAGTAAGTACAAGCTCCATCAGCCTTTCAAACGTTGCTGGAGCATTGCACAACCCAAACGGCATTACTTTAAATTGCCACAGACCCTTTCCCGTAGAGAACGCAGTTTTCTCCTTGTCCTTAGGGTCAATTTCAACTTGCCAGTAGCCACTTTTTAGATCCAGCGTGCTAAACCACTTTATTCCTGTAAGCATGTCCAGCGTGTCATCAATTTTTGGCAAGGGATAGCTGTCCTTCTTTGTAACGTCGTTCAGACGGCGGTAATCAACACAGAACCGCATGGTGCCATCCTTCTTCTTTACCAGCACCACGAGTGAACACCATGGACTAGAGGAAGGTTCAATAACACCATCCTTCACCATTCCTTCAATCATGGTTTCCACTTCCTTTTTACGTGCTACCGGCAATCTTCTTGGTCGATGACGGATAAGCACTTCTTCTCCTGTGTTTATTTTGTGTTGAACTAAGCCAGTCTTTCCTATGTCAGCATCGTTTGTTGAGAATTCATCGGCATACTTGAGTAACAACTTCTTCGCCTTGACCAATTCGTTCGGGGAGAGAACACTGCGACAGTCTTCCAAAAGTGTGGTCACTCTCGTTTCTGAATCCTTGCTGGGGATCCCACTCGATTTATATTGGCCCCGACGTAACCAATCCACTTCCTCACAAGTACCAACCAGTGTGCCTTTTTCTATAATCTGTTCCCGGTCACAAAGGTTCAGCACACGTACTCTTGAGATGTCATTGGTTCTGACCAGGGTTCGAGCTACTTTCCATGGAAGGTCATTGTTTACCCTTTCCACAAGTACACAACGGTGAGCTTGCCCAGCGTTTCGGGGAAGACTAACCGGAACAATCGTTTCCGATCTCGGCGGAAGAACAATCTTCTTAATGCTGTACACGTTCCCTGGTAACGCACCTTCCATAAAAAGTTCCTCCTGTCCACATTTCAAAACACCTTCTTTTTTTCAGAAGAGGGGCAAAAACCTATAAACTACGTGCTTAACGTCGATCTCACAACAATTATTCCTCATAAAGTCTAGGCCTAGGATGCAGTCGTCCATTATATCAGCCACGATGCTGCAGGTAGATCACGTTGCCTAGCTTCAACTCCATCTCCTTCTCTCCACGGACGGGTATACGCTGACCGGTGGCTGTTACCAAATTAATGCGTTCTCGGTTGTATGCGGAGTCCCCAAGGAACTGACTTATAAGTTGGGAACTAACAACCGTACGAGAGGCTCCAGTGTCTATGGTCAGTTTACACGGCATTCCGTTAACCTCGCCCTTGATGATTAGACTGTTCCCATCATTGGTTTGTGATATCGAGATCCTTGGGGCTCTTTTAACATCAGCCAGCACCCGCCCCGCAGTTCTGGCTTTTACTCGTTTCCCTCCTGCTGCTGGGCGGTGCTGTTGGCCGCACTACCCTCCTGAGGTCGTTCACCTTCCCTTTCTAGGGTTCGCTTAGGGCAGCTGGATCGAAGATGGCCCTTTTCCCCACAGCCATAGCACCTAGGGCTGTATCCCTTGTTGCAGTCGCGAACTGTAGCTGCTGCAACCTCCCTGACAAGATGGGAACGATGATCCTGCCGCACGGCTTCCACCTCCAGTGCATGGGCCAAGGCGTCCTTAAGCGTCTCGTGTTGCCCGAGCCTCACAGCAGCTCTGACTTCCAGGTCGCGGATGCCGTCGATGAATGTCTGCACCAGGTTCCCTTCAATGAGCGCAGATACAGACCGGTATGCTTTCCGCACCAGCTTCTCTACCTCTAGAGCCCACTGCTGCAGGTTTTCGTTGATGCGCTGCACGCGATCTTTAAGCTGTGCACGAAAGACGTGTTCCAGGTGAGCGTCGCCATATCTCGCCTCCAATGCCTCAAGGAGTTGCTCATAATTCACTTCCTCACCGAGAGCTTCAAGAACTGTTAAGGCCTGGTCGCGCAGGCCTAGTGTGAGAGCAGTCATGGCCTGACTTTTATTCCAGCCGTTCGCTTTCATAACAGCCTCGAACTGGATTTTGTAGGCTGACCAGGAAAAAGTCCCGTCAAACAGTGGCACCTTGAACCCACGTAGTGAAGGTGTAATAGCTACTACGGGAGCTGCAATTGCATCTCCAAGTTTGAGTTCATCCAGAGTTTTCTTAACTTGGTTGATTTGGGTCTTAGCTTACGACAGGCGGTTATCCTGTTGAGCAACCTTATCCTTCACCTCCCTTATCTCTTTCCCTAAGGTAGCGTGAAGGTCCATCATGAGAAGCTTCTGCTCTTCCCTATCGCATTTGAGCTGCTCT